GGACCGCCCAGGCTCTCCAGCAATGAGGAAAGGTGGAATCTTTTTTAAGGCCTTTAGGCCTATTGCAATGACAGCCTGGGTTACAAACCAAAGGCCATTAATTACACGAGGAATGTAATAATACTAATCCAGAAGAAATATAGCCTTGGCCATTTTCTAAGAACAGATAGGCCCTATTGTTCTCAATTCCCTCAGTCTCTAGCATTTGCAAACCAAGCTTGAGAGTCTTTGCTCATGCTCTTGAGAAGCCAAGAAAAAGGTCAAAGTCAGATCTAAAGGGTAAGGCCTTAAAGAGCATTCACCTAGGAAATGGGAAGTGTGTCAGAAGACAAAGTTGGAGTTAGGAGGAGCAAATGGTTCAGGATTGTGCCTGCCATAAGGCTATAAGTCTAGTCTGTTCTTATAAAGACTGTCCTATCTTCATGGAATCCCTCTGGGTACCTGTTAAGTGCCAGTCTGAACCTTTTTAGGAGTCTGGGAAAACAAAAACAAAAACTACACCCTGAGCGCCCTGTGCAGGGTGGGGGTCACCTGGTAGATATAGACCCAGAACCTTTCCTCTACCTGTGATTTTAAATGGGGGTTGGGGTAGATAGAGCCCAAGAGGCCACTAAGTCCACTCTGAAATGCCTTCCTGCTCCAAGTTTGAAATGGATGGGTTTGCTTCATGTACAGTTGGCTTGTCTTGTTCCCTAACAAAATCAGGAGGAGTTTTTAAGTATCTGGTCCTCATGGTGTATATAGCAGCACTCATAAATACTGAGTACAATTTGTGTGTGTATGTGCATGTGAAGTGTCTTATTCTAAATATTTGTAAATAATAACCTATATATAATTTAACAATATTTAGCCAATTAGAATTTTTAATTAATAATGACCCCCATTCTCCAACATTCTTTATAAATGAGGGTACATCTTCTTGGGCATATTGCTGCTATCATATGGACTTTTAAACCACAATATCAGCTAACTATAATTTCTCCATTTTGGTATTGTGGTTTTCCTATATAGTACTGTCACTTAATGCACACACCATGGGCCACATTCTACAGGCAGTGGTGTTTACTAGTTGGCTCTCCCAATACCACTGTCCCTTTCCTCATTAGTGACATGATCTTAATTTATTTGAGATTAAAATACTACATTTCTTGGCCACATGAAAAAGTTCTGACCAATCAAATAAAAGGAGGTAAGTTGTGTAGGAATTTCTGGAAAGCACCTTAAAAGGGAAGGCATATACATTTTCTTTGCCCCTTTCTCTTGCTGCCAGCCTGGAAGTGGAACCCCGGGGTAGAGACCAGAAGCCATTCAATATTATGAGACATTTTTGTGGATGGAAGCCAGCCAAGTTGGTGAAGCAGAAAGAAACCACCTGGGTTCCTCTGGTGCCACCTTATCAGGCTTGGACAGTCTGCCTCCAGAGTAAATAAGCTGCTGACTTATTCAAGCAGTTCCAAGTTCTTTTAGATTGTTCTCTTCTAGGCAGATGACCTAATCCCACTTGCTAAATCTCCTGATTTAAATCTTTGTGAGGATCTTGAAAATCTGCATTTTTGACAACTGCCTAGGTTAGTTCTTGGACACAACACAATTTTAGAAACAAGTGCCATAGCATATAAGATCTCTAAATAATTTTATAATTATTTCTTGGAGACAGAGCTGAGACAGGGATTGTGTGCATCATACCTCTGCATATATTCTCTAGGGTATAGTACCCTAACAAATAGGGAAATATTCCACCAAAGTTTACAAAATGGATGAATTGGTAAGAGAAGTCTTCTTTCACACTTCCAATTTCCTTCCAGAGAAAACGTTTAATTGTGAACACTTTGAGAAACACTTGGAAAATAAGTTTTCTACTGGTTTGAAAGTTTTAAGTATGTTACTGAACCACAACATGATGGGCAGCCCTTTGCAATGACAATATCGTTCCTCACATGTGATAACTGTTCTGACTGTGGAGTCCTTTCTAGGGTTTGAAACTGGAATAACAGGAGGATTTCAATACCTCTTGCCTTTGGGATGTAACATAAAATCCAGTCCTACACACAAAACAATTTAATGCTTACCAAATTGCTTTTATGAGATCTACCTTTTTAATATATATGCATGTACATATCTGTAGACAAATATGCACACATATTACTTTATAAACAAATACGTTTCCAGTTTCCTAGGTATTCCATGTTTTTCAACATTATAGCCTTTAATAACCGTGATAACGATGCTAATAAAAATACCCGTTACTTGAATGAGAAGTTGTTTGTGGTGTTCATTAGTCAAGAAAGATACACGTTGATTATCTATGAAGGGATGCTTACTATGACTTTGGGGAAATAACTCACTTGCATATTTCAGTGCTGCGGGTATCCGACATTTCTATATAGAACTGTCTTTGGTACCACACAACATCTCCACCTAGTGACTCTTTCAGGGTCCTACAGCAACGCCTAGAAATTGTTAGCTTATCTCACACCGCTGTGCTACTTCAACCTTAAACACATTCGTACTGCTAACTTAAGTTTAACCTAAAGCTGTATTCCTACCTATTTTACGCAGGTTTCTACTTACGCAGTGAGCGGTAACCTACTCTTGTAACAAACAGCTGAGTCTCAGCCAATCACAGCAGCCAGACTTCAACCACTCACAGCTGGCCAACGTTCAAATCAGGCAAACACGGAGCTGTAACCAACCTGGCTGTTTCCGGGCCTCATTTCCTTTCTGTGTACACAAATTCTCTCCAACCACGTGGCCTCGTTCTAAAGCTATTCTGGTTCTTTGCTCAATTAAACTCTGTTAAGGGCCCAGGCATCCTCACACTACCTCCCGCGGGCCACATGCAGCCCACCTAGGACATTTATCCCGCTCACGGGGTGTTTTTGCCGCCGCTGCCTGTCCTGCTTAGCAGCCCACTTGTCCCCGCCCGCAGTCCGGCCGGCCAACGGTCCGAGGGTCAGTGAACTGGCCCCGTTTAAAAAGTTTGAGGACCCCTGGCTAACCTGTCTAAAAAAAATTTAACAGTATGTAGAATTAATTACTGGGAAATGAGAACGCACCAACATAACGTAGGAATTCTTTTCCCAGAGAAAAGAGCAGTAACAAATTAGTAGTCAGTATAACAATTAGTACCGTGAAAGTTCTTGATGTCGAGAGTTGATGATACGTCAAAAACAAACAAAAAAAAAAAATCAAAGTTTTCTAGTGGCCTGTTTTTGAACTCACACAGCCTCTACAAAACAAGATTGGTATTCATTGGTCTAAGGGCCAAGAGTTTAGGACGGGGTATTAGTTGAGAGTCCAGTATGCCCCTGGTATAATGCCAGCTTTTCTACTCGTTCTGGACACATTTTGAGACAGTATAGCATAGTGGTTATCACTGTGGGCTTCAGAGACAATCCACAGCCACTTACTTTTCTCTATGACCTTGCTCTCTATTTCTGTTTCCTCCCCTGAAGGGGAGCTGTACATTTGGCAACGTTGCTGTGAGAATAATTGTTTTGGCATATAAAAGCAGTCAATATTTGCTAATGTTCTTTATCATTTAATCCTCACAATCCCCTATTTATTTATTTATTTAGACTCACCTTGAGTAGAGTGCTGCAGTGTCAGAGCTCACAGCAAACTCACACTCTTGGGGGTCAAGGGATCCTTTTGTCTCAGCCTCTTGAATAGCTGGGACTACAAACTACCACTACAATGTTAGGCTACTTTTTCTACATTTAGTACAGATGGGTTAGGCTTTTCTCAGGCTAGTCTCAGACTCCTGAGCTCGGCAATTCACCTGCCTCAGCCTCCTAGAGTGTGAAGATTACAGTCACCACACCTGGCTCACAACACTCTCATGCAAGGTGTCATAACCACAAAATCATAAAGTAGGAATTTAAACCGAGGTCTGTCTAGCTCCAAATTTCCTGCCAATTCCTCACTATTAGAGAAGTTTTTAAAAAACTAATTTATTTAGATTAACAAAGAAAATTTAAATTGCTAGACATTCATGAGTTCCTTGAACATATGGAGAAAACCAACAAAAATTATAAATTAATGTGGAAAAAACCCTTGAGGTAAAAAATAATGGGACCTATGTTACTCAGTCAATTATGCCTCATTTGTTAAAGAAGTTACATGATCTAGGTTCTTTCCAGTTCTAATAGTCTATGAGTCTATTTATGGATAATTTTACACATAGACACAGAATTGTTTCCTAAAGGCATTTTTTTTCTTTCTTTGTCTATATTTAATCCCTAGCTGTCTTGAAACGAAGACACAACGCCAAAAATTAGTATTATTTATTTATTAAATAATCGCTGTGCACATTAATACAATCATGGGGTACAATGTGCTGGTTTTACATACAATTTGAAATGCTTTCATTTCAAACCGGTCAACAAAAAATTAGTATTCTGGAAAGCTGGTTTTACGTAAGAATAGAACTTGAATCAGTAGTTCCACCACCACTAAACTTCTCCCCAGGGTGGTTAGTGGTAGAGTCAGGCCTATTACTAATCTTCTAATTCAACCCATTCTCATAGGCACTTAAACCATTTAACCTTTATACTTCTACGCCTAATTTGCAAATCCATCTTTTAGCTTTATAAGCCATTCCACTTTCAGACCTTATTTTAAAAGTTCGGCAGTTAGTATATATGACTGTTTTGCATCATTATGACTTTAAAACTCCGTAAAACAAGAACTTTTACAGTGTACTTATTTTGTCCCGTTTTGTTTTCAAACGCCCCAACAAAGAACACAGTAGCACTTGATTTAGTAGCACTTGATGCTCAGCCACACCCTAAAGATCGCTCTTCTCAACTGAATTGGCTAAAGCGCCTGTCACTCCAAACATTTTAACACCCAACTCCCCCCGCCCCCAGCTATCTCTGGATTTAAATTTTGATCCCGCCCCCTCCCTCCTGGCTCCTCCCTGGGACTGCTTACCGATTGGCTGAGGTACCACTCCTCGTGGGGTTGTCTAGCCACCGCGCGCAGTGGTCGCTGGGAGCTGAGCCCAGGCGCGAGGACAGGCGCGAGCTGTTCCCCGTGGGCTCCCCTCCCCCCCGCGGCGACCCCTGCTCCGACCGACTGGTCCCCGAAACGGTGGTGGCGGCCGTTTGTGGTCGTTGGTCCCAGGGATTTAGGACCTACATTTGAAGACCCAAGGGGTGAGGAGAGGATGGGGGCAGAGGGGTCCCTGCCAAACCGCTGCTAACGGCTGGAGACCCTTTTGGCTGCAATAAACCCTGCCCGGCTCGCTCTTAGGCTATATACGCAGTGGGGACCCACGTCCTGCTGGAGACGGTGTCTGCAGGGCTCACCCGTCTTCGTTCCCCTGCCCCGTCGAGCAGCAGGAGGGCAAGTGTCAGAGACGTGGCTTCCCAGCCCCGGAAAGCATCTTCTGACCCGACAGCGCCCTCGCCCCCACCCCTGGCCCCGCGCGGTCTCGGCTGCCCCGCCCCAGCTGCCCGTCCCGTCGGGGCCCTGGGCCCGCTCCCTCCGCCCCGCGGCGCCCGGCCCTCTCTCCGCCTTATTTCCGCTCGCCCCCGCCGCCTTCCGGCCGCTTCCCACCTGCTGCCTTCCATGTTCTTTCCCTAACACTCTTTCCGTCGTCGACCGCCGCAGGTCAAGGCTGCCGGCTGGCCCATCCGGCTCTCTGGCCGTTGTTTCACCGCGCATCCCCGATGGAGGCATCTTGGCTGCCGGGTGAGATTGAGCCGTCTCTTGGTCGTTTTCATTGAGTTCTGGTTGGGTGAGATTTAGCAGTATCCCCGTCGTCTTTATTGAGTTCGAACTGGGAATAAGCCTCGAACTTTCCTCTGCTTTTAACTCCCGTCTTGTTTGCTCCCCACGTCCTTTCGTGGGTGTTGGGGTTTGAACAGTGGACGGCTGCAGATATGCGGGAAAAGTAACTAGCTGACCCTCTCTCACCCGCGACGCGCGGCAGGCAAGCCACGGACGGTAAATACACACGCAGTAGTTCCATCCTTGTTTCCTAACATCACATAGTTTTAATTACTATTTTTAAAACATTTTTTGGGGATACTGGAGAGATTGCAGAACGTGTGAGTCCAGAGATCAGCATCTGATCTTGACGTTGATATTAACTCTGAGATGGTCTGGAAAGCCTCTTAATTTATTTGGGTTCCATGTTCTTGCTATGTAAATTTAGTTTAGCTAATATTGAAGTTCTTAACTTTAAGCTTTACCTCTCTTTACATACATGATGAATTCTCTGTAACCTATTATTATATGGTAATCCTAAAGTGGGCTAATGTCAAAGAGGGAATATCAATAGAAGCTTTTAAATTCTTGTCTTCTCTTAAAATTCTCTCCGGTGTTTTGTTGGAAGATGGTGTTATAACCAGGAAGCGGGGTGTGTTGCATGTATAAGTAGACTGACACTTAAAAGAACATATCACTGGTCGAAAGAATTTTACTTATTTAAATAATGGGAAGATATTTTCAAGAGTCACCTAGGATGTGTAGTTGAGGAGTTTGACAAACTTCCTTTTGGAGCCGTTCGGAATTAAATCTCCGTATGTGCTCTAACGATAGATTTGTTCCAGGCTACACATTTAAAACATTAAAATTAGTTTAATTGCACCCGTGCCATGTCATACATAAAGATGACTATTATGGCTATAATTGCAGAATATTAACAATACCTTATTTTCTGCTTAAGGCACTGCTTTAATTACTGGTTTTCACTTAAGAGGACCTGAATATTGTCAAAAATTATACATATCAACACAAAATAAAACTATTACTGGATATACTATGAGGAACGAATTATTAATAACAAGAGCACACTCAATTTAGGGACTGAAATCCAGCCTTAGTTGTTTAGTGGTCTTATTTTTGTTGTTAGGAAGCTTAAACATGTCAGTTTAAGGAGGGTTAGTGAATGCAAATCAAATAATTGATATAAATAGTGCCTACATTTGCATATTAATGCTGTATATTGTTTTCTATTTCATTTTACCTGATGGTTGGTGAGACAACAAAATTAAGAAATATGATCTCTGTTCAAATTGATAACAGATTTCAAATAATAGATTGTAGAAGACCTTATGTCAGAACAGTAATGTACTGAATTTAGACAAGAATATGTGGTTATCTTTATCCTAAATTCAAAGAGTATATTGCTTTTACGTTCAAAGCAATATTTAAAAAATTATTATTAGTTACATATTTCTTAAAATACCTAAATTTTTAAACTATTCTAAATTTAAACCTGCCCTCTGAAGTAATACTAGGTGTGCTGAAACAACACTAAAACATTTTATGCATCATATATTCAAGTTCTAACAAAATGCGCTTTCATTCTTTAGCAAAAATTAAAATGGAGTTGAACTGATCCATCTATACACTTTTGTTTTGAAATCGTTTTAGACTTAGCTATCCACACACTTTTGATTAATTCTTCTGTTTTCCAACCATGTTGTTATACTATGGTCTATTAAAATGAATTGCTGCTGGAAAATCTCCATTGACCTGGCAACCACTGTTTCAGTGTACCATACTCAATAACAACTGAACTGACAAATCTAGAATTTAATGTCATGTTAATTTAAGGAGTGCCATAAAGATCTAATCTGCCTCTATAAAGGTATTTGATATGTTAAAAATTGTTTTTTATTATCATAATTAGTTTTAAAACCCATTGTAAAATGATATCATGGTCACTTTAACAATTTTATATATTTTTATAATTTGGAAGATGAAGTTTCAATTTAAGTAGTTTAAACACAGCTGAAAAGAATTCCTTTTAAATGATCATTTTTATTTTGCTACAATTATGGTTGTCATTTTTTCATTAATATATTTTCTATTTTTGGCTGGGTGCCTATGGCTCAAGCAGCTAAGGTGCCAGTCACATACACCTGAGCTGGTGGGTTTGAATCCAGCCCAGGCCTGCCAAACAACGATGGCTGCAACCAAAAAAA